CAAAACTTTTTTTTTATTCGCTCGCGCGCATCAGTTTTGGGGCTCCCGGAGGATGTCATCCATATAATCAAATCAACATGGCCTAAGGCAAATTCCGGAAATATTTTCGAAGCATACGGAGGATAGATACAGCACGTGTTGTGTAAGAAAGGCAAATTGCTTCTGAAAGGTGATAATTTTGACAATTTAGAAGTCAGTAAAACTTCTGAACAGACAGGTCTTGCGGTGTCAGCAATATTTCTCATCATTTCTCCAGGTACAAGCGTAAGCTAAAAGCCCGCAGCAGTGTGTGTAAGGGTCATCAATCTGTTTCATGTTGTTCTTTGCTGGCAATAGGATTTAACCAAACATGAATGTCTTTCTCTTCAGGTACAAGCGAAACCTGAAGGCCCACAGTAGTGTGTGTAAGGGAATCATAAGCGTACAGAACACGGCACATCCCGCACGCTCCATGAGCGGCAGCGAGCCCGACCTTGACGCTCCACCCGACTGCACGACCTTCGCCGGCATCCGCGACCTCCTGACCTCCGACGACCCCGAGGACCAGGTCGAAGGTCAGGGGTCGTCAGGGGACACGAAGGAGCAGGACATCGTGTTTTCTTCTCCGAACCATTCACCTGAAGACAGCAGCAAACCTTGTACATACATACGCGGCCAAGATGGCCGGATTATCGCGGTGAAACAGGAGAGCCCCACAAGTCCACCTAATGGGCAGGCAGAGCTGTCAGAACACGGAAGCAGGGAGGAGAATGTTTGGGTCCCACCAGGTGGAGGAGAAAACTCCGCGGAGGACAGGCTGGGAGGTAATGAGGGCTCCGCGGAGCAAATTGCGAGGACCCCGACGCCTGGAAGTGGAGAGAGCCAGGTGGTGGGAGGGGCCAGGAAGAGGAAAGCGGCTGTGCAGCACCGATGGGACGCCAAACACCCGGGCGTGGCCAGGCTGCCTGAGCAGCTGCAGAGTTACGTCATGGAGATGATGGGAGAAGGGGGGAGGGGGGCGCCACAGAGTTCCGACAACCAGGCCGCGCCGCTCGAACAGAGCGTCTTGTCTCAGAACGAGAACCAGATCATCAAGGACTTTTGGGCGGAGGTCAACCGGGGCCTGTTTCCCGACGACCACTTCTCGGGGTTGGGTCATCCCGGGGCAAAGGTAGCGCCTGATGACCAATGGCAGGGCGGCAGGACTCAAGGTCACCGGCATAACCTTGAAATTCAGACAAGTCCGAGTATCGATCCGCTCAGAGACGGTGGGTCACCTTTACTCGAGTCAGACTCTTCAGTTGTTCAGAACTGGGCAGGAGACAAGTCTACCAGTAGGAAGAAACAAAACGGGGCCAGGGTTGGAAGGTCCAAGGGCAGAGGTGAACAGGAGACCTTTGACCCCAAGAGGGTCAAAGTTGAGACACAGGATAATGCTTGAGTTAAGCACATTCCAAATATGTAATTATAATGGACTTGAGCATTGATTGTAGATAGGTCAGAGTAACATGAATTGTTGCCTGCTTCGTAGGCACGGTTAAAATGTTTCTTCCAAAGTACAGTAAGAGTACTAATGATATAATATTTGTACATTTATTTATGGTGCTTGTTTAATATGAGGTCACATGAAGTCAATTTTATGTCATCTGTTCATGAATTCAAGCATGGACCATTGTCCTATTGGAATAACGTGTTCCCCCTCCCCTTAAAAAAGGAATGTAACAACTTGTGTTACATCTTAGCATAAAAGTTCATCTGTGTTGGTACAAGTCATTATGAAAGTAAGACTAAGGTTTAACTTCTAACACTAACTTTTGAGGGAAAATTTGGGGTAAGTCCCAATTCTTTGTAGTTAGTGTTGGAAGTTAAACTTTAAAGCTTAGTCTTTATTTCATTGTGTTACATCTATTTTCAATTAGGTAGAGTGGTCCACGTAATTCGCTGTCTGCTTAATAGGCACATTAAAACTTTTCTTCCAAAATATTGTCTAGTTAAATTGTACATTATTTATGGTGCTAGAGTGTTAACGTCACATTAACTTGATGTTATGTCATCTGTGCATTGATTTAAGTATATCCATTCTGTAGGAATAATGGTTATGTCACAGCAACAAGTTGCTAAAAATCAAAACATCACTCTGGTCACTTTGTTGTTGTTGTTTTTTTGCGCATCTTATTACCTATATGTCTAATCTTCACAAACGTGTCACTTTGGACATTTTTAGCATGTACATATAACGTTAACGTTACATGTAAGACTAACAGCCTTTCAAATGGTCATCAAAGGCCTTCAAATGTATTGTAAGCAGATCCAAGCAGATCATACAGTGGCAAGGCAGTGTCCATTGGCGCCAGAGGAGTGTCCATTAGCCACCAGTTGGCCAATGGCTACTGTCTGGCCAATTTGATTCTGTCTTCTGTGGCCACCGAAAGGTGTGCTTGGAAATTCAAATGGACTTCATTCAAAATGGTAGAATATGGCTGTATTTTTCATGAACCTGTAATTAAAATTGAGTTAAACGCGGAAGTAGCTCGAATTCTTATGCGTAAAGGCAGTCGCATGCGAATACTTAATATAACCTTGTCACCTTTCTCAGGGCAGTTCTGACTGGTTCACATTAAACTGCTGCATTCCCAGGTACAGTTCTGTAACCACGCATATGTGTAGATATGTAAATATTGTGCTTGGGAATGCATCTATACTATAGCAGCGACGCCTATGCTGCAGTGCAATGTGAACCAGTCAGAATTGCCCTGAGGAAGGTGACAGACGGTCACCAAAACGTCGGCTGAAAAGACTTGGTTGTGTAGAAAGAGTCTCCTTACTCGGTGACTTACCAACCTGATGAAACTATTCACGTAGTCCATATACAGAAATCCACAATAACGTAGTCGGCGGCGAAAACTACCCAAATCACTACCCAAATGCTGGCCCTCATGGCCAGTGGCCTGAGATGACTCGCAACTGCAGAACGCCGTTCGAAGATTCTCCACGTTCTATCGAACACAACAGGTCACACCGCGGCGACTCCGGTAAGATCCAAGGTAAGAAGAGTCTACAATAATGTCGGTCGCCTATGCTTCATATCAATGGTTCTATCCCCCGATAGGTTTAAAATTGTAAATCACTTTATCCTCGGTTTATATTCTTGGGAGTCACTTTGAATACTTGTCTTGAAACAGAGCAATGGGTCCAAAATTAGTCCCTTTTGGGCAGAATGTATTTTATGACGTTGAAATGTCAGCCACGTCTCTATATATTTGAAAACTTGTCCTGGTCATCACGGAAGCAAATTGAGGCATGCTGGGAGGAAGTAGCGAAGTCGCTGTGTTGCTGTTGATGACAGCTGCTGTTGGGATGGCAGCAGGGACAACCGTTCGGTTTGGTAAGAAAATGCTTCGTTCGATTCCATAACAAATTTATAAATACCAGAAAATATTGTAGATTTTTGGTCCTCGAAAGAGATCGGTTATGTTTTCATCCACGGTGGTTGGCTAATTGGTTGATTGGTTAATCGGTTTTATTAGTTGGTTGGTTGAATGGTTTATTGGTTAGTTAACACTATAATACAAAGCACCAAGTATGGATTTCTATACTTTGGGTTTAACAGATCTTTAAAAAAAACACAGATGTAACAGCGTTGAATGTCAAGCGCTAACTCGGCAAAAGTTCAACCGGGGCCTATGGTGTGCTTTTTTTTTTTAATTTTTGCTTCTTTAAATTCTGTAAATAAGAAAACTCGACGTCTATATGTTCCTATTTTGACATCTAAATGTTCCTATTTTGGTCGCGCAGGCGCACTGACTGACGTTCCGGAGGACTTCTCGGCGCTCAGGCTGGCTGTGGAGTATGTGAACGAGAACGATCTCGTTCCCAACGTCACCCTCACCTACACCGACATATACAACTCCACACAGACGCTGGCGTTTTTTGACATGATCAGACAAGGTTTCCACGTCATACCCTTTTTTCAGATTTGCTCTGATACTGCAACCTACGGCTTTATCTGCAAACTTTAACAAAACGTCAGTCTAATTTGTAATTGAATCCCTAACTTGAACTTTAAGCAACTTTCAGGTGATGTCAGACAGTCATTGTTACGCATGTAGTATTGTTTTGTAAATTACCTTCGATTTCAATTTTTTTGTAGAATTTTTAATGTTGAATAAGTGAATTTTAACATTGTATGCTTAACGATGACAACAATAATCATTTTATAGACTGATACTTTTGCAAATAGCCTCACAATTCAGTCCTCTAATACAGCTGCCAGGAGGCATGTATATCTTGCTAAGAACTATAAAACCAGTCTACTACAGTAACTACATAAACTGGTTACTTGTAACATACGATGATGATTTGGAATTTTCAAAATACGTTTATGTCTAAAAATGTTCTAATTTGATAGAACAAAATGATGATCCTTGTAGTAAAACGTTGAACTTTATTCCACACACAATGCATTACGCAGGGATCAAATTTTCAGCAACCACTGTCGCCTTCATCAGGTTCAATAAACCCTTAGCGTTCAGACCAGGTTTTTCGATGGAAAAAAACCACAAAAACCACCTCCCGAGGTGGTTTTTGAAAATCGGATTTAAACCCCTAAAAAACGGTTAATTTGCGTTCACACCAGGCTAAATAAAAACCGGTTTTTGAAATACCGGTTCAGAAACCGCTAAATATAAGTCTGGTATGAACAGGGTCTTAATGACCAGTCACTTCACGACGTGATCTCGCGAGTGAGGGAGTTATGGTTACAAACACGTGCCATGATGATTCTTGTTTTATTGACAAAATACTTGTAAGCTCAGACCGTGATTAAACCTACTATAATACGCATATTTCACACAAAACAAAGAACATTTTAGATCAGCAGATTTTCATACCTATGTTCCGTCTCCAGCCTGCATCCAAGCGTCGGAAAGTATCGTGGCCATCATTGGACCAAGGCTGTCTTCGCAGGTAATGTTTGTTGGTGTGTGTGTCTGTGTGTGCCGCTGTGCGTGTGTTTGTGTGTGTGTGTGTGTGTGTGTGTGTGTGTGTGTGTGTGTGTGTGTGTGTATGTGCGTACGTGCGTGCGTGTGTGTTTGTGTGTGTGTGTGTGTGTATATGTGTGTCTGTGCGTACGTGCGTGCGTGTGTGTTTGTGTGTGTGTGTGTGTGTGTGTAAAAAAGAAGATAAATGATATGAGACTATGTGCAAATTAATACTACATTCTACAACATATGTGGTAATAGTTTTGTTGGGTTCGACTTCTTCTTTTCAGACAGTGGGAGATGAATTTACCCACTTCGTCTATGATATGTGGATTCTTTGATTTCAGTAGTAAAATTGTTTTCTCTTGGCAAGGGCTAGTGGTATTGTAAAAGGGTGCATTTTGGACACGGTGCCGAATAATTGGTTTCTGATATCATCATGAAAGTTCACCTGTGTTTGTAGTTACAAAATTGTGTAAAGTTAAAACGTTTCATCCAACACAAAAAGTTCTCTCACCTAGAGCTTTCGACCAGTCACTCTGGTCTTCCTCAGTAGACTGACCCAGTGAAGCTTGTCACGTGGCTTCTTTGAAGTGTGACGTCGACTGCTCGACTGGTGAGGGAACTTCTTTGTGTTGGACCAAAAGTTTAAACTCTAAACATGCAACTACCAACACAGATGAACTTTCATGATAGTAAAATTCTTTGTTTTCAGTGTTTTGACTATTTGATTTTGTATCCTTTTTTTGACAGTGCAGTATGTACTGTCCTTTACTTTTATTAGATTTGGCGTTAGGTGCCTTAGTGAAGGAAAGGTACTCCACCAATGGCATGATCAGAAATCTTTGACACTTGGGCTGATAGTCTAGAACTCTTCCCCAGTTTATGAGAAAGTATTGAAATTTGTCAGTTTTGAACTTGAACCCCCAAACAGGTGAAGGCGACGAGCCCGGTGAGTTCCGGCCTGTCGCTGCCTCAGCTCGCTCCTGACGCCACAGACCCGACCTTAGATAACCTCCTGCACTTCCCCATGCTACTGCGCATGTCCTGGCCGGACAGCGTGCTGGGCGTGACCTTGGTTGACCTGGTGGAACATTTCGGCTGGGATCACGTGAGCATCTTCGCATCAAACGACGACTACGGTACGGTGAAACACACACACACACACTGAGAAACACATTCACACGAACACACACGCACACAGACAGAAACAGACGCACATACGCACACACACACACACACACGCGCGCGCGCGCGCGCGCGTACACACACACACACGCTCCATTTCGAAAATAAGTTTACTTTTGTGTTTAGCTCCGTGAGTTAAAACCTTTAAGTCAGTATGGGTAAGGGGTGAAGTCTGCCATTCCATCGCTGTTTGTTTCTGGAGTGTGGGTAAGGGGGTGAAGTCAGCTATCGCTGTTTGTTCCAGGCACGCACGGGCTGGTGGATTTCAAGGTGATAGCGGGGCAGAAGGG